CCTGTGTAACCTGTGCATGTAAGAGTTCTGGTGCTGTTTTTATCTTGTCGGCCTATAAACCTGTACAAAACACCATCAAGCATTGTGAAAGCTCATTTACTCAAGTGAAAGTTGTTTAGCTCAAAATAAGCGTGTCAAAATATTTTTATTAACACTTTGATCATTGGTTTCAAAGTCCACCAAGAGCATATTAAGGTAAGAATTTCTTTCTTGAGAAGCCCACACTCAGCCCAGAATGGGTACTATAGTACTACTCTCCATGTCTTACATATCTCTTCCCTCCAATCTCTTAATGTTTATGTTTAAATATATATAAAACATTTTCTTAATAAACTTCAAGTGTGTTTCCAAAGAAGACATCAACTTTCTAGACAGCCACACCCTTGTCAGAGACTGCAAGGGAGTATCCATTCTTGTTTCCAGCTTCTAGTGGTAGCTGGATTTCTGGCCTCGTCACTTAATCTCTAGCTCAGTAGTCAGAGAATCTTTTTTTCTCTGTTGACTCTCCCTTTGTTTCCTTCCTGCAGGGCTATCCAAATGCTTCACATCAGCCCTCCATATAAAATATATACATTATTTCCCAGCAACCTCAGAATGGCTCTACTCAGATAAACAACTCAAAGTTCAGTATTTCATCTAAATAGTATCAGCTCAAAAGTCCCAAACCTAGGCCAGGCAGTGGCGCATGCCTTTAATCCCAGCACTCGGGAGGCAGAGCTAGGTGGATCTCTGTGAGCTCGAGACCAACCTGGTCTACAAAGTGAGTTCCAGGAAAGGCGCAAAGCTACACAGAGAAACACTGTCTTGAAAACAAAACAAAACAAAAGTCCCAAACCTCATCATAAACTGTCTCAGGTCAGACATGAGACATATCTGAGAAAGAGCAGTTCTGAGGTTCTGGTTTCCATTTCTAAAATCAAGCGTCTGGTGCTTTGCACACAGTAGGTGTCTACATACTGTTAGCTTCCAGGTATCCCCTCCTCCCTTTCCTCACTGCATTCTGAATTTGCTTTACCGTTTATTTTTCTGCTACAGATTAATTTTTCACTATGGGCCACTCAGATCTTCTTTATAGGCACAGCCCCCTGGGTCCTGTGTTGTAGATTTTGAAGAATATTATTTTTACCTCCTTCTTATGATGTCATTGTTAAGTTCTTCCCCCCCCATCCCCTCCCACCCCCCCATCCCCGGCACCACCTTCCTTTCATCTTACTCTTGTGCATATGTGCCGAGGTCAAAAGGTCACTGTGATTCATTCCCTTACCTGCTTATTAAGGTGGTAGCTGTCATTCATGTGTAGCTGCGGGGGAAGTGGCCTGGCTTCTTATGCCATTCCCGGTATGGCTGGAAGATCTAACTTCAGCTTTCAAGTTATGTGTCCAAGGGGCATTCTAACTAGTGTAAGCCACAGCCACTGAGATACAACCTCCATTTTTTGCTCAACTCAAATCTACCCCCTGCCTATTTGGTAAGGATGTACCTACCATCCGCTTTCCTCCTCTTCAAGTCTGCCAGATGCCTAACATTTATAAGTCTGATGGCAGGTGACAATCACTATGGATAGTTTATCACATGACTGAAGCTGCTCTGTGTTTGGCTCCTGGTATTTCAATACTTACCATGTCACATGGTGTGGGAACCACTAATATCCCAAGTTCAGATAAGAAAAGCCAGATGATTGAGGGAAAGTGACCAAGCCATAATAGCTGTGTTCACCAAGTAAAACTATGTCCATCCCTCATATGACAAACAGAGCAATGTGCACAAGTCCTGGGATTACACAGCACAATCACCAAGATCCTTTGCTTACTTCTCCCTGGGTTTCCATTTGGAAACTCAAAGGAACTGAGTGCTGAGACTTGCCCACAGCACTGAGAGGACCTCTTCTTTTCTTGGAGTTCTTTTCTATATGTCTTAGTAGCTCCCCTACACCAGATTTTCATCTGAAAAAAAATCTTTCACAGAAGTTGAAAAAAGAATTGTTACAATGACCTTTGTCTGTCCTGGCATTCCCTTGCCTGTTGTGACAGCCTCTGCTCCCTGGGCCTTTCTACTCACGGACAAGTGCAGTTTGGTTTGCTGAAGTTATTCATTCGGAGGACTCATTCCCAGTACTTCTGCATGGATCCTGAGAGGACAGACCATCTCTCATCATCCTACACTCATCATCACGAAGCCCAGGAAATTTCAAGTTGGTGCAATAGCATCTAAAACTCAGTCTGCAATTAGGCTTCCCCAGCTCTCCAAGTAACATCTGCTTTTCAGCCCCTATCCCCTTTTTAAGTTGGAAGCCCATTTTTTCCCCGACGTCTTTGTGAAGTACCTTTCCCTCCTGGAAGTTGTGTGTCCTGTCTTCCTGTTGTTGCCATGGTTTCCTTTTATGTTGTGTTAGTTTTCCTTCTGTAACCATTCACTCTAGAGTTCCTCCAGTTCTGTATTAGTGTAATTCTTTCATCTCAACTGGATTCGGGTGGGAGTTTGTCCTGACATGAGTGAGGTACAAACCATTTCCTTTATGTAGAAGAAAATAACTGAAATTATCCAATAAAATTATGTGTTATTTTTTGTCACAACTATTGAAATCTAAGACAGAGAATCCTCTTTACTGACTAAAACTTCTGGAAACATCTTTTCCTTGAACATCCTGAAAGCTCTGACAGCACTGAGGATGCTGTTGATGTTTATGCTTTATCCTTGCTGTATTGGGTTGGTACTAAAGCATCTGAAGTGTGGGAGTATGTGACATGCTAGATTCCTGGACATGGCCTCTTGCAGAGCTGGGATTTGACCTTGGTTTGGGATCTCAATATCATGCTTCCCCTCCCAAGTCAGTGACTATTATCAATTTAATATAAAATAGATAGGGGGCGGGGCTAAGAAGGATAAGGCATTTTTAAAAAAGTAATAGACACTCATTAACGCAGAGCTACATCTGAATCCAGCGTCAGTTAGGTCTTTGTAAAAGCGACCTTCAAGCAACCTGCACTCTGGTAAGACAGTGAAAGCTTAATTTATGGAGATTATATTTTAAAAGTTTCCAAAGCTCTCACTACTGTAGGTATGTAAGCACATGCTGAGAAATAATAATAGGGAAGCAGAAAGAAGCCAAGGTGGATGGTTTCCACTTAATCTCATAAAGTTACTTCGTGCTGTATAATAATTATGGATATTAGTCAAGACATAGAAATATCTTTACCCTGTGCTCTGAACCCACAGCAGGAAAAAATTCTTGGCTAAAAAAAAAAGTCTTGGACTCTTTATTTGTTTTCTAGTGAATTCATGGACAAGAAGAACTTTGAAACCCTTCTGGGCAGTGTGACCATCAGAGCATGTAGGGAGGAGGCAAGATGTTCAGAAGAGTCAGGTTTTGCCTACTATCTCAAGGGTTCACTTAGGACACACAGGAGTTGTCCTAGTTAGGGTGTAATGTGATGTGATGAAACCATGACCTAAAACAAATTGGGGAGGAAAGGGTTTACTTGGCTTATACTTCCACATCTTAGTCCATTGTTGAAGGAAATCAAGACAGGAACTCAAATAGGGCAAGAACCTAGAGGCAGGAGCTGATGCAGAGGCCATGGTGGGGTGCTGCTTACTGGCTTGCTCAGTCTACTTTTTTATAGAACTCAGGACCACAATGGGCTAGGCCCTCCTTCATCGATCACTAGTTAAGAAAGTGCCCTACAACTGGATCTTATGTAATTATTTCCTCAACTGAGGCTCCTTTCTCTCTGATGACTCTAGCTTGTGTGAAGTTGGCATAAAACCAACCAGCACAAGATATATTCTGTGAGGAAGGTTGTAGGCAGGGAAAAGCTGCACTACAGCTGACTGGAATAAGAACAGATGTATCTCATGCCATTGTGATGTCAGAATGGACTATGAGGGCCTCACAAGAGAAGTTGAGGGCGTGTAGTCTCAATTTTACCAGACTCACTCAGAAGATTCAGAGAGCTGGTTTGGCGTTAAAACTCAGCACTTACATTTACAGGTTCTCGGTATTGGAAATGAAAGGCAAAGAGAGGCCCAAATCAAGTTCACAGTGGATGGCAACTAGCCTGGGGAGCATCTCAAGTCCAGAATCTGTCCCAATGAGACAGGAGGTTGGAGCTCTGTCTTGGGGGATATCTGGGGTCCAGGTTCTGTCCTGAAGACATACAGAGTCCAGATTCTTACCTGGGAACACCCAGGATACCAGGTTTTATCTGGGGGCCATCAAGGGTCTATCTTCTGTCCTAGGGGATATCTAAGATCCAGATTCTGTCTTGGGGGGATCTAGGTTCCCAGTTCTTTCCTTCATGACTTCTGGAATCCAGGGTTCTGGCCCTAGTGCTTTGGAGATCTGAGTTCTGTGCTGAGATGTCTGTAACCCAAGCTCTGTTGGAGTGTGTCTGTTATTGTGAGTTCTGTCCTGAGAGTATTCTCCCCTTCTCTCTACCACCATCACTACTATGACATATAGCAGTTAATATTGAGACGAACTGCGTCTAGGCTGGCATTGCCCATTTTAGTGGAATTAGATGAGCAGGAAACGGAAGAGCATGACTGAGCATTAGTACAGCAGGCTGCGGTGTCGTACTCCACCAAGGCTGAAAGGCTAGACTCGAGGTTGTTGTTCTGACACTGAGCAGGTGCCCCACAAACAGGCTATAACCTAGGCAAGTCTCCATTTGGTCATCACACCAGGGGCACAGCTGCAATTACAGAGTTGTGAGGACCTTTGTCCATCCCTGAGAAAACGTCATTCCACTTCTTCCCCGGCATTCCCTTAATCTCCATTCCTTTGCTTGTTCTCAGGCTCTGAATGAGAACACCATTCAGCCCCATAGTTTCGTGATGGGCATAAGGTAGTAGATAATCTTACCATCATTTTAAGGGACAAACTTACTTTAAACCAAAGTACAAATTTATTCTAGAAGATTAATTATAGCATTGAATCTTATGTTCAACTTTTCCCTATAATCTTTTGTTTCAGGATAAAAGAGAAAAGGGTAATGGTTTTCTCCTCTCTGTCCTATTCACTCCACTCCCATGTCAGGTGAGATATCAGCTGAACTTGGAAGTACAAATAGATGGAAGATTCATGGCCACATGCCCTGATTATTCTTTCCTGAGACTCTTATGTGACATAGTCCCATTCTATGGTTCTATGACTCTGGGACCATATGAATTCCAGCTGTCCATACATTTAAACCTAAGCATGGACATTCCTTGGTTAGGATTCAGGATTCTCCTTTATTTTCTTGTTGCTGGGGCACTTTCACCCTGGAAACTATATAGTTCTGTTTTACAGGACATCTTTGTCTTTGGTGACCATATCTGACCCATAGCAGCCAGTTTAACATCTCTGTTTACACATTAAGGAGCAGGACCATTCAACCTCCAAATATCACCAAGACCACCTCCAAACGACATGTTGACCTGACTCTGATTCTAGATCACACTCCTTCACCAACCCCCAACCCCCAAGGTTATGGAAAAAACTACTCTTGGAGAAGATGATGACTGAGGTGCCTTTGGATCCTTTTCATCCTTCAAATAGGTTAGAAGATGTTAGACTGCCATGACATGTGCCAGTCAAGCATCATGTGGTAACTTTAACCCCTCACTCGGGAATTCTATATCCATTTTCCCAGAACCCTGGTCAGAATTTCAGTTACCACACTGCTAGATGGGTGCATCTCTAAGCAAATGCCTGGCATGTAATAAATGTCAAATGGTAGCTGTGTATGATGAAACGAGAACAGATCCAAATTCATTTCAACAAATTTTTACTAATATGACTAGTGTGACAATGGTAAGACACTGAATACTCTCTGTGATCATGTAATCTAGTAATTGCAGTAGGTAAGTAGTTATTGGGATAGAAAGTGATGAAAAGTGGCAGTTGGGGTGCTACAGAAGCAGAGACTGGGGGCTCAGGGAGCACTGGGGCCTTCATGGAATGATTAATCCCAGCTGGCATTATGGAGAGGCTGCAGGGTGGGGCTCACATTTTTATCGTTGCGCATTATTCATTGATGTTTCGATCTGTCATCCTGAAATGTGATCTGCCCTGGTTCCCTGGGCTGCCACTGTCCAGCGCTTGCATGAGGAGAGCAACCTGCTAAATAACCACACTGGGTTAGTTGTCTAGCTACTCCATGGTGCCTTTGTACTATTATTGTTTAAATGTTTATAGCAGTTTTGTGCCATGAGAATTTCAAACCATACAGAAGTCGGCAATACGCAGTCTTTTCTTCTGGCAGGCTCTCCATCCCACTGCCTGCTAAGAGTTAGACATCACTAACTTTCCCTTGTGGAAATTGCCTGAGCCTATGGAAGCAGAGTGAATGCATGTTTTCATTTGGATATTTCCTCTTTTAAAAACATTGTACATGCAAGTGATTCTACTGTAAGAACCTCCTTTACCAAGCTATTTTTGGGGTCATCCTTTGCTATCATTGCATCTGCGAAGCTTGTCTCTAAATTTAGGATGATGATACTTGTGAAAAGAGTTCGCTGCTCTCTGCACTCAGGAGGGGCTAAGGACGTTATGTTCTTCCTATTTTTAAAAAAGACCATAGATGCTTCAACTAAGTTTGTTTTACTGGTAGTGATATTCTATGGTTTATATGGTGTGTGATAGATGTGTGTATTTTATATTTTCTGTAAGTTAAAAAATACACAAACACAAGCCCTTTGTCTTATCATCTTCCCCTTGTCTTGTGCATGGTCTAACTTTCTGACACAGAGGAACTATTAATATATATAATTATGTGATATTTCCACCATTGATTTGACTTCTAGATTGTGCATTTGGAGGCTTTCCTGCTTTGTGACTTTTATCTTTTAACCAAATCCCCCTGACTGGAAGCAGTGTTGTTCAATGTTGCTGGAGAGCTTCTCTCCAGGTTCCCCAAGCCCCGCAGTCCCACAATCCACTTATAAAATAATCACTCAGACGCTTATATCACTTATAAACTGTATGGCCGTGGCAGGCTTCTTGCTAACTGTTCTTATATCTTAAATTAACCCATTTCTATAAATCTATACCTTGCCACGTGGCTGGTGGCTTCCCGGCGTCTTCACATGCTGCTTCTCCTGGCGGTGGCTGCAGTGTCTCTCCCCTCAGCCTTCTGCTTCCCAGAATTCTCCTCTCTCCTTGTCCCACCTACTTCCTGCTTTGTCACTGGCCATCAGTGTTTTATTTATATAGAACAATATCCACAGCAGTTCAAAATGCAGTGAGTAACATCAGTTTCATCTGTAACGGTTCGTGATGATTCTTAGGTTAGTCCCCTCTCAATAGTACTGCCTATCTCTTAATCACAAGGAAGGAATTGAAAACAAGACGGTGACAAGCAGTCAGCTGCCGAGGGGACTGTCTGCTAAGCAGACTTGGTTTTCTTCATTATGGAAAGGGTGTTTAATGGCTGTCACCCACCCCCAGCATTCATCTAGTAGCTCATAAGCTTATGTGGTTAGAAAATGTGAGCAAGGCTTGAATCTTGGGATAAAATGATCCTCTTTAGGGCACAGGTCAAAGCTAGACATCACATTTGGAAACATCATGGCTTTCTGGTTGTCACAGGCAAAGGGATCAGTGAATAGAGATAATGGAGTCCAGTGAATTGGGGTGTGAAGAGGAGTTTTTAGCTAGGAAAGGTGCTTTTGAACTTGGTCTGTCCCATTAGTGAGTCCAGTTCTGTATCAGAGGGACAACCTGTGACTAATGAGTCCATTCTTATACCAGGACAGCCAATGACTTCTGGCTATCTCTGCCATCCATCTGCAACCCTGGCCCTTCTTACTTTGATGGCAATCCTCCACCCTCTTCTCCAGCACCACAGCTTATTTCCCCTCCAAGTTTGTGTGCAAAGTTGAATCAAAACAGACTGGGGGAGGGTCCATGTTTCTGAGCTCCTTTTAGCATTGTTCTTTGCAGGCAGTAACCAGTGAGAGAATCTCTCTCTCTCTTTCTTGGAGCCTCATCTGCTCACTAGCTGTTGTCCATTTGTGCAGTAAATTAAGGCCATGCCATGCTGCCAATCTCTTTGAAGTAGGTAATCAGCGTCACCAGCTTTTCCATCCTCCCTTGTGAAAATGACCTCACTTTATTGAATATTTTGGCTGTTCTGTGTGTCCCCTCTACACTATGTCAGTCTACTTGTTCTTGTGATGTAGCAGAAGTTCACGTCTCACAGTTCTGGATAATAGGATATCCAAGATCGATCAATGTCACAAAAGATTTTTATATATAGTGGAGGCTCATGTCCTAGTTCAAAGATAGTGCTCTCTGTGTTTCCTCACATAGTACAGAAACAAAAAATTCTCTGAAAATGCTTATACAGGTATTAATGCTGCCCATGTGGGATCTATTCTTCCACAGACACGTTTGTGTTAGCCTTGTATTGGTATTAGATTTCAACACATGAGTCATCAGAGTCCAAAAATATTCAGTGCATAGCAGCTCTCCACATTCTGTCTCTTATCACCATATTCCAGGTTGGGGTATAAACCAAGTCACAGTAGCTGAACCATCTAGTTAGTCTCAAAAGGCTTTATTCTTTCTTCATTTTTCAAATATCACAGTTAGAAAATTAGACACTTGTTTGGAGCAAACATCTCTGGAAGAAAAAGATGCTCTGCATTAGTTTTCTTAACAAGCATTCCATGCATGGATAGACCCTTGAGGACAAGGGGTCCCTGCTTAAGATGAACTGCACTCTTATGCTGAGACCTCAGTGTGATTCAGACCCATTTCTTATGTGACCACAACTAGAAACCACAACTAGTGGTTTCTAGAGAAACCACTGCCACGTCTAGAGGAGTCTGATGACAAAAAGATCCATCCTGCCATCTCCTCAGGTGACTGTTCTCAGTTTCCCCAAGGTTCACCAAGTTAGCATATGAAGCCAGTAGACATTTTTATTTTATTTATTTATTTATTTATTTATTTATTTATTTATTTATTTATTATTTATTTATTTATTTATTTATTTATTTTTTGGTTTTTTGAGACAGGGTTTCTCTGTGTAGCTTTGCGCCTTTTCCCTGGAACTCACTTGGTAGCCCAGGCTGGCCTCGAACTCACAGAGGCCAGTAGACATTTAATGAGTTGATTTTTAAGCAGTTGTTGTGAGTAATAAAAAGCATACATAGGCTTTTCAATATCACATCAATTCATTCACTAGCAGTGCTTATATCTTACAGTGTGCCAGTCACTATGTAGATGGTGGGTACACATCCAAGAAGGATGATAGATAGTAACTGTAGCTGATAAGTACTGAGCTCTTACTGTATTACCTCATACAATTCTCGGTCAACTTCATAATTAAGTGCCTTTGGAATATTAAATCAAAGACAAAGGAATGATAGATAGAGAGATGGAATAATGTTAACAAGGACTAAAGCTGGACCACATAGTGCTTATGGACTATTTGCTGTTGTTCCCACATAAGACAGATACAAGTCTGTACCCTAAAGGAACTCATACTCTGAACTAAGGAACACGTCTACTCACAAATCAATCAATTTAAAAAAACAAAAACTCAGGAGTGTGAAGGCCCCAAAGAGTTTTCCATCTTTCAGTCAGTCTGTGGCTGATGGACACACCGAGTTGATGGACGTCTCTCGGGTGATGTGGACTTCCTCTGTTTCCACCAACAAACCCTTTTGTTGTGTCCCCCCTGTCACTGTCAGTCTGTACTTCTGCCCCTCTCTGTTTTGTCTGAATACCCCCGCTTTCCTGTTCCTTGGTTTCTCTCCCACCTAGATGATTATTAGAGATTTCCAAATGCCGCAGTGTAGCTTCAGAGAACCCGGGAGGGAAGGACCCTGATCACAAATGAAACACGGTATTGACAGAGGGCTTGGTGCTTCTGGGGCTCCTTGCTTTATGTTTTCTGCTGTTTAATGGACTCAAGGAAAGCAAAGACCCACTGGTTGCCCAGTGTGCTCCTTCCTTCTTGCTTTCTGGCACTCCAGGCATGCAGAACTCCAAAAGCACATCCATGCCACTCTGTTGTTGTTAATCTAATTTTTCCATGATTAACAACTCAATTCATTATGTTTCCAGCTCACATTAATCATCCTTTCTGTGAGTTTGGTAACATTTGGAATCATTTCCCTATGAATTTATCCATCTGGGATCTCTATCAAAGATATGCTTGCACAAAGCTGTTTGGTGCTCACTGCTGAGAGTGAAGGTACTTATTGTTCCCTGAATCCTGAAAGGAGAGTTCTGAAGTCAACTGTGGTTCCTTCACTATTCACGGCCCCTCAGTTGAGCTCCATAAGGTTCTCAATATATATCAAGACCCAAAGCACAGAGATTTTGGCTACAATATAATAGCAATGTAAATCCCTAAAAACAGTGCTCTGTGGAGCCTGTGTGCACTTCTGGAGCAGATGGGAATGGAGAGAGCCGTGGGGGCAGCGGAAAGAGAGGTGAGATGGATGAGTCAGAGCAAAGACCCTGGCAGGATTCCTGTCTTTACACCTACAAGCTATTTGACCTTACACAAGACATATAATCTCATAAGATCCATTCACTCCTCCTGCGACCTGCTATCATGGGGTAGTTCTGAATGTTGGGTTGTGTTCTCTCCTCTGCTCTCTGCTGCTGAGGAAACTATAAAATATTGTTAATGCTACTCAGTTTTGCGATTCCCATATTTCTTTCCAAAACTAACAATGTCTGTGCATATGTGGGTGTGTGTATACATAACATATATAATACATATAAGAAATATATATTGGGGAATTTCCATGGCTGCTTCTAACACTAATATGTGTGTATGTATATGTGTGTTTATGCACACACATTTATAACAGCATATATAAAAATATGTATATGAATAATATATATGATATGTATGTGTGTGTAAGTATAGGCAAGCATCGGTGAAAGGACAAATAGCCTATTGGGTATGGCCTAGAAGCCAGTATTTCTTAAGTATCTTCTTTTCTATAAAAAGCCTTACAGCAATGTGCCTTGTTTGAGTTGGGCAGAGGATATGTTGTTTAGGAAACAGACAGAGAATCCTTTGGGATCCAGTTGTGAGCATCCTCCCAGGTACAGTGTAGTCTCAGGAGCTGAGAGAGAAAGCAGTTCTTGTGGAGGCTTCACATGATGTTTGCCCCCAGCAACATCCAGTAGGGAAGGTCAGAGGCATCCGTCCACTTCTGAAGTCAGATGTATTCTGCATTGAGCATCTTCTCAAAGCCCATGACAGACATTTTTGTCTATGATCATTAACTTGGAAATAGAGGTATCAGTTCTTGTTGCTGCCCACATGCAGGACTGAATTGCATAATGCCTCCATTACTGTAAGAAGGGTAAAAGCTGAGATTCAATTTTACGGCCATAGAAAGGTCCAGGGGTGGAGTAAAGAGATAGGAGAAGTTTGTTCTAATTCTGCCCTGCTGAAAACAAGGTGATGGGATGTGGAAATGTTGACCTCTGCTGAGAGTCTCTTCTCAGCACTAGGGATTTCAACAGGAGATTCCCATTACACAGGAAACCTCCAGTGGCCTTGTCGGAAATTACCTGCCTAACTCCCCTTCCTGCCCCTGTAGAAGGCCAGGCACCTGAGGGCCCTTTTTAATTGCCATGCACCTCTCCTTGCAAAGGAGCTAATTGCCTCTGCTTCCCTTTCCTTTAGGTTTCCAAGCAAGGACAGGAGTAACAAAGGCTGTGTGATAGCTGCATCCTTTTGAACCACCCAGGAAGGAAATCCAGAGTGTGGTCAGACAATTGCAGCACTCGGAGTAAATGAGGAATGGACTCGTGATTATGCTGAGATTCCAGAATGAATCTGGTCGACCTGTGGCTATCCCGTTCCCTCTCCATGTGTCTTCTCCTCCAAAGCTTTGTTCTGATGATACTGTGCTTTCATTCTGCCAGTATGTGTCCCAAAGGCTGCCTTTGTTCTTCCTCTGGGGGTTTAAATGTCACCTGTAGCAATGCAAATCTCAAGGAAATACCCAGAGATCTCCCTCCGGAAACAGTTTTGCTCTACCTGGACTCCAATCAGATCACATCCATCCCCAATGAGATTTTTAAGGACCTCCATCAACTGAGAGTTCTCAACCTGTCTAAAAACGGCATTGAGTTCATTGATGAGCATGCATTCAAAGGAGTAGCAGAAACCTTGCAGACCCTGGACCTGTCTGACAACAGGATTCAAAGCGTGCATAAAAATGCCTTCAATAATCTGAAGGCTAGGGCCAGAATTGCCAACAACCCCTGGCATTGTGACTGCACTCTCCAGCAAGTTCTGAGGAGCATGGCATCCAATCATGAGACAGCACACAATGTAATTTGCAAGACCTCGGTGTTGGATGAGCATGCTGGGAGGCCGTTCCTCAACGCTGCCAATGATGCTGACCTTTGTAACCTCCCTAAAAAGACTACTGACTACGCCATGCTCGTCACCATGTTTGGCTGGTTCACCATGGTGATCTCTTATGTGGTATATTATGTGAGGCAGAATCAGGAGGATGCTCGGAGACACCTTGAATACTTGAAATCCCTGCCAAGCAGGCAAAAGAAGGCAGATGAGCCTGACGACATTAGCACTGTGGTATAATCACCACACTGACTGGCACTGGGAAAGGAGCTTCTGGTTATAATAGGATAAATGGTTTCCCTCCATTGTACACGTTTAAAACTTTGTATTTTAGTTTCTTTGGAATCACGCCACTGTTGAAATTTTCACAAACACCACAACACTAATAATTTTAGTTTAGGTGATCTTCTCCCATTCATCGTGTTCCTGGCTCCTGAGTAACAAACTCTCTGAACATTAGTTAGACCCATCTCACTATTTAATAATGAAATTTATTTTTTTAATTTAAAACTGAATAAAAGCTTAACTTTGAACCATGGAAAAGAGTGTGACTTATTGGTTAAGAAACAATAAAACCAATCCACTTGCTTTAAAGAGAAAAAGACAATCCTGCTACTCTAAAAGACTATTATATTGAAAGGTGTATCATTACAAGCTCTATGGCACCCTGGGGAGCCAGAGCTGAATTACTGACCAGTTAAGTGTCTGCCAGACTTTAGCTAGCCAAGATGATTATACAAATGTGTTTTTTCCAGCCTAGACATGTTAGGATGCCTGCTGACTAGCAGCTGATTTTCAAACTGAGGAGGTTTAGTAATAAAAAGCAAATACTTGCTTCCACTTTGTGCTGGATGCAATGGGAAAGTAAAAGATGGCATGTGTCTTATCCTCAAGACTGCCTTATGGTGGGCAGGAATGTGTGGTGACCACAGAAATAGCTAGGCCAGAAAAGGAGGAGCACTGGCTTTGTGGGAGCACTGTGTGGGAATGCTCTGAGGGAGCACTATGTGAGGATGCTGACACCACTGATATCCCTAACCTCTCACCAGCAGAGGAGAAAGTGACCGTCGACCCATACAGGTAGAACAGGTCCAGCCCCCATGCCAGTAGAGAGCATTTGAGCTTGAATTTGAACCAGGTTTTCTCTGAATAGAGGTCTTCTCTGTGATAGTCCTTCTACACTGCTTTACAAACAGAATTTACACAACAAAAATGCACTAACATGAAATTTCACGAGTTTTGTTCTTGTATACAATCTGCCACACAAAGGAGATATTATATCCCAACTGTGGTCAGACATACTGGAAGATATTTGGTTCCTAGAGTGGGAAATGAATGATGGGCTTGTTTGTTTTTGTTTGTTTTAGGATGAATGTGATCAAGCAAGCATAAAAGACCAAAGTGAGGGATCATAGGAGCAAAGGTAGAGAGCCGCTCCCAGTAAAGGAATCTATGTGGAGAGTGAGATACAAATCCAAACCCTATGGTGACTTTGAACTGGAGAATACCCTGTCATCACATGCCACTTACGGAAGGGACACTTATTTTTCACCAAATACTTTTCTAAGTCACCTTAATTAATGCTTGCAAGACCCTGTAAGAAAGTTTTTGAGTTATGTAATAGATTGAGAACTCCAGCACTTGTAGGAAGCATAGCACTTGCACCAACCTTAAGTTTTGAGAGTTTTGAAACTGTATACCCCGCTCAAGACACCTATACTGACACCCACAGTCTCTGGACCACTCCTTCTGTCTAGGCTTGGCTTGCTACACAAGGTGGCTAGTTCCTTCGCCACATGAGTTTACAAACACCTCCACGACAATTCAAGTTAAAAACACAGGGAAATTGCTCTGTATAAGGCCTGTGTAGGAAGGAGGGTTGGCATGCCCTTGTGAGACACATGGCCTTGTCCAGCCCACATGAGATCATCTTCAGGGTGTGAAATCTCACAGTTCTACCCTTAGGAAGCCTTGGAATTCTGATTATAACCATAGTCTGTTGAAAGGATTGCTGAAGAAATCAGCAAGACACTCAGAGCCCTGGCCACTGTATGCTCACAGCCGCTTTAACAATTATGAGGTGTATCAATCTAGCTAAAAATTCAGCAATAACTCTCAGATGCTCAATTTGTGTTAGGGCCTAGAACTTCTGCTCCCAGGAGACTGAAGTCTGATGGCCTGCCTTGAATCTGTATGGAAGAAGCAGCAAGAACAGTCAGAGCTGTGCTGAAGGTACAGCGCCCCCTGGAGGACAGTGCTATAAATACACTGCAAGTACTACATAGAAAAAAAAGCTGTTAGACAAAAGTTTAGCTATAACGGTCTTTTGAGAATTAAATACGTGTGTTTATTTGAATTTATGAGCCAAATTCATTTTGGAAAGTCTTCCACAGATGGATTAGGTAATCCATTCTAGGTCATTCCCTCCAAAATCATCTTTATGTCTTTAGTAATGAAAGCTTATTTTCCTCGTGGCCAATCCATTAATCCAATGAATGTACTCATAAATGGAAGGTCTCTGAGGATTTGGTGAGGATAGTCATATCCTTGATCCAGTGCAAAACAGTTATATCACTGCACACTTGGTTTGTAACTTTCCAAGTGGAGCTGACAGGCATGCTGCAGGTTACGGGACTCCCTCCCTGAGTTCCTTCCGTCTGTAGATTATCAGGTTACAAGGTCTTCAGTGCTTCAAAATGGCAACTGTTAATTTAGGTTGCCATGAACTGAATTGGAGTTTATTAGACAATAAAAATCAAATAGATATAATTAAAGTAGCAGATTAGCATGTCTATTTGTGACCAGAAGAGAAGGGAAACGATCTAATTGCCAACATGTAAGAATGTCTACCCAGGAGTCCAAAAATGTACAAAGCAATGAGTGGAAGAATCTGCTTAGTGAGAGCCTGTGGTCTTGATCCTGGATTGATGCCTCATTTCCCACCCCTCTGTGGGAGTTCCTGTTCATGGTGAACCACGAGAAGATTTTTGAGATAATTACCATCTTATTGTCCTAGGCACACAGCAGCTCAAGTCCTGATACTTTAAGTGACAGTGCCTTTTCTCAGACTGTTTTCTCTCAACCTCCACCTTTCAGATTAAAAAAAAGAAAAAGATGCCCCTGGGAATTTTAATCCAATCTTTGACAATGTGCTTATCTCTGAAGTAAAGCAAACCATAAAACATGCCAACTCAACTAGAACACATTTAAAAGTGATAAAAACTTACATAATGGAAGATTGAACTTCCAATAACACTTGGACAAATTGTAATCACTGCTGTACAGTGAGCAGTGTGAGCCTTGTTCTTTTTCTTGTCTGTCTCTCATTTCCCACAGTAATTCTTGCTCTGATATCACCAAGCATATGGCAGTCTGGGGTGCCGTGAGGTTTTCTTATTGACTCAAGTCTTTCATGCAGTTCTCTCAGTTTGCTGGCAGAGACATAGAGTGGAAAATTCTGCTTATAACTGCTCAGTTCCTGAAGGCAGATGCATTCCTATATCATCAGGGTCCTTGGAATAGTCTCATCTACCCACTTCACAGGTACAGACACTGAAATGCTTAGAGCTTTGGGGATGTGTATCTGTCTCTAGGTGTCCCATAGGACACTAACTGCCATCCTGATGAGTTCTATGCCAGTCATCGAAGACAGGTCATGAACATCATAACAACATACACAGGGAAAAATGTCACTGTATACTAGCAAATTTCTCTGAGGATTCCTACTTTACTGTGAGCCAAAGACTACCTATGATTCTGAAATTTTAATTGTCCCTTTAAGATCAGGTGGCAGGATCTGCTTGCCTGTAAAAAGTAGCCCAGGATAACATGTTTAAAAGTTTGCATGACCTAGCCTCCCAAATGGGGAAAATGATGCTGGTACAATGTCCCAGAATGAGAGAAAGGAGTTACATTTATTTCCTTGAGCAGAACCACAAATGATCAAGTGCAGCCAAGCTGACAAGACAAGGCTGCCCTTCCTCAATGCCTGTCTCCATCTCAGAGCTCTTGTCTGCCTGGCTTCCCAAAGTGGTGTCAGTGATTCATTCAGTTGGCTAGTTCTGACCTAGAAAATGGAAACAAGAAGCATGCTTGTTAATGTTCATTTTGGTTTTGGTTTTGTCAATTTTTCATAAACTAGGGTCTTCTGAGAGGAGCGAACTTCAACTGAAAATATGCCTCCATCAGATTGGCTTGTGGGCAAGCTTTTGGAGCAATCTCTTGATGAATGACTGATGTCCACTGCTGTGGGCAGTGTCATCCCTGGGCAGGTGGTCCTGATATAAGATATCAGGCTGGCCAAGCTCTGAGGACCAAGCCAGTAAGTAGCACTTCTCTGTAGCTGCTTCTTCTTCAGTTTCTGCCTCCAGAGTCCTGCTGGTATCCCTGCTCTGCCTTACCTCAGTGCTGGAATGTGATCTGGGATGCAGCAGCCATTAAACTCTTTCTTCCCCAAGTTCCTTCTGCTCATTTTGTTTAAGCAATAGAAAGCAAACTAATACAGGGATGGGGCAAGCTCAATCCCCACACATCTGGAAGTCCATGTTACAAAACAGAATGCAGGAAAGAAGACCTGCATGTATTCTGCATTTGCCCACTCAATGATGGGCCAGAATATACTCAAAGACCCTGCCAGGGCCCAAGATATTTTTCATTCAACTCAAGAAAATGATTATTTTGAGTCTTTTGGGTCTACAAAATAGAAAGCGAGTCCCACGGTTTCCTAAGTGGTGACAGTAAAGAGGAAAAATCATTAACATGCATTGGTGGAACTCTATCATCTATCTATGTATCTATCTATGTATCTATGTATCTATGTATCTATGTATCTATCTATCTATCTATCTATCTATCTATCTATCTATCTATCTATCATCTGTCTATCTATATATCTATTTATCATTTATCTATCTATATCTATGTATCTATGATCTATCTATCATCTATCTATGTATCTATCATCTATCTATCATTTATCTATCTATATCTATGAATCTATCATCTATCTATATCATTTACCTATCTATCAATCATCTATGTATCTATTATCTATCTATGTATCTATCATCTATCATTTATCTATCTATATCTATGTATCTATCATCTATCTATATCATCTACCATCTGTCAATTATCTATCTATCTATCTACCTATCTATCTATCTATCTATCATCTATCTATTATCATCTATCCATCTATCTATCTCCTCCTTCTTCTCTTCCTCTCTTCTCCACCCTCCGTCCCTCCCTTCCTCTCTTCCTTTCTATCTCTATATTTGTATTTTACAACTGAGTTTCAAAAGGCAAGGAAGGAATCAGAGAGACACTAGGGAAAAATCAGGTCTAACAGTAACTCTGCTAGGGGATGCTCAGAATTACTTGAGATTGGAATTTATGGGGAAATTTGTAAATATTTTGAAAGCTGTCCCTAAGCTCAGTGCAAACAGTGAGTTAATCAACTTTGTAACCTATGCTCCTTCCAAGTCTGGCAAGTGTTCTGCAACTTACTATTAAAAGAAGAAAAAAGCTCAGTGTGTT